AGTTAGGTCGATATTCTAGAAACAAAGGATAATGTAATTTACATGGAATAATCTGTGCAAAAAATTTTTTTTAAATTAGTATAGTTTTTCTATAGAATGGAAATTAGTGCATAAAAATAAAAGCAGAAAGAGAATATCTTTTTAATTTGCTGTGCAGTCAAAAATAACTCATTCAAGTCAGGCATAGTGGTGCATGTCTGTAATCCTAGTGAATCCAGAAGCTGAAACAGGAGGATTGTGAGTTTAAAGCCAGCCTCAGCAAATTAGCAAGACCCTGTCTCAAAAAGGGTTGGAGATGAAGCTCAGTGGCTAAATGTCCCAGGGTTCAATGGGAATTGAACAACAACAACAACAACAAAAATCTCATTCAATATATAGGAAACCACTATCATTTCTATGTTATTATTTGCTGGGTATGAAAGGGATATTGTTTTTTTCCTTTTGAAAAAAGACTACATGTTTTATTCTAGCCATCTGAGTTTAGGTTTAAATTGCTTTGGGAAGTTTGCATAATATTCTGATGATCATTGCTTAGATGCCATATTTCATATGAGAACTATTTACATAATGAGAAAAACTATGGCAACCACTTCATTCATCAAAGAAATTATGTTTTGTTCACTTGCATTTTGCTTGCTTGCTGACATTGATTATTTATACTTACAGAATGTTTTTCTTAAATGAAGATTTAAAAATCACTCCCAATGACCTTCTAATTTCTGGTCAATTCTCAGTAAGCTATGGAATAAATGGTTTTCATATAATAGTGTTTTGTGTCTCCATCTTTGATTGGTTTAGGTAAGTGGTGATGGTGATGGTGATGGTGATGGTGATGGTGATGGTGATGATGGCAGGGCATGTGTCAAAAATGACAACAGTCTGGGTGCAGTGGTGTTCACCTATAGACCCAGTTACTGAGGAGAGGCAAAGGCAGGAAGGTCAGTTGAGCCCATGAGTTTGAGATCAGCCTGTGCGACACTTACCATGTTGGGGCTGGGGGAATAACAACCAACACAAAATCTAAAGGTCAGAGGTACATTTGAATTCTTAAATACATTAATTTTATGAACACAAAACAAATATATATTTAATATGGGAAAAAGAGAAAAGAATAATTAGCACTTAAACTATTTTATCAGTTGTTGCAGTAACTTAGATATTTGAGTTATTAAAAGATTGAAATTCTGTGGAGAAATGCAACAGAAGTCACAAAACTGCTTGGAGTCTGAAAGCTCTAGCTCCAGAGAAAGGTGTTTGGTGTACACCAGCATTGACTACCATCTCCCATCTCCTCAGTTTCCCAAGTTTGTCAGACTAATTAGGTATCTATAATTTTCTAATGTAAGTCTCAAGACATGGAAATATGTCACTCCTCTATTTGGCAAAGGGTACCGTCTGCTATTTAGGAGTTTCCCTTAAATGCATGTGTGTGTGAATGCACTAAAAAATACCCATCCACCCAACTTTACCAAAAGATTTCCACAGAAAAGAATATTAGTGTTCAAAACAGTGTGATAGTGGCAGAAAGGCATATAGACCAATGGAATAGAATAAAGAACCCAGGAATAACCCTTGCATAGATGGGCTAATTAATTTTTGGCCAATGTGCCAAGACCATTGAATGGGGAAAGGACAGTCTTTTTGACAAATGGTGCTGGGAACACTACATATTCATACGCAAGTGGGTCTTGCTGTGGTTTGAATGTTTTTGCCTCCCCTGGCAAATTCATATGTTGAAACCTAACCACCAAGATAATGATATTAAGGACAGGGTATAGGGGGGTGGGAGGTGATCAGGTCATGAGGGCTCTGTCCTTGAACTCTTACAAAAGGGGCTTGAGGGAGCTTATTCTCCTTATCTGGCTTGTGAGGACACAGCAAGAAAGCACTATCTGTGAGGAATAGACCCCCATCACACCCCCAAATCTGCTAGCACCTTGATCTTGGATTTCTCAGCATCCAAAACTGTAAGCAATGAATTCCATTGTCTAGGTATTACCAGTTTATCCTGAAGATGTAGTCATGGTTCAACATAAGCAAATCTATAAATGCAGTACACCACATAAACAGAATGGTTGCACAATATTGTGAAAAGTGTGTGTGTGTGTGTGTGTGTGTGTGTGCGCATGTATGAGAGAGAGAGAGAGAGAGAGAGAGAGAGAGAGATACATACTAGAGATTAAATCCAGGAGTGCTCTACCACCAACCCACATGTCTACTCCTTTTTATTTTTTATTTTGAGACAGGGTCTCACTAAATTGTCCAGGCTAGTCTTGATCCTCTTGCTTTAGCCTCCAAAATCTCTGGGATTACAGATATGCACCACCATGTCTAGCTATTATGGACGTCTCTAACACCAATAAACTGTACAATGAAAAAGGTTGAGATGGTTAATTTTATGTTATCTATATTTTACCAGAAGTTTAAAAATGGACAGAAAAAGAGGGTATCAGGAGAGTTAGAATCAGAGAAGAGAGTCATGATGGAAGCAGAGCTTAGAGAGATGTGATTGGGAGGTGGAAAAAGGAGCCACAAGCCAGAATGTAGGCAGCCTGCAGATGCTGGAAAAGATAAGGAAAAATATTGTCCTGAGAACCATCAGAAGAAACTAGCCCCCAGCTCCAGGAAGGACTGATTTGAGATTTCTGGTCTTTAAAAGTATAACAGAGGGGCTGAGTTGTGGCTCAGTGGTAGAGCACTCACCTAGCACGTTCGAGGCACTGGGTTCGATCTTCAGCACCACATAAAAATAAAAATAAAGATACTGTGTCCAAATACAACTAAAAAAAATGTTTTTTTAAAGTGTAACAGAATAAATTTGTGGGGAAGGGAGGAAAGAATAGTATTGTTATTCAATTTATAACTAAATCAAATAATGGGAATGATTATATTCCTAATTTATACTTCTTGTTTTTTCTTGAGTTAACTGTATTTTTATTTGCTTGCATTTCTGTGTACTTATCACTAAATGTACACTTGAGTATTTCTTTTCTTTTTGGGGGTACTGGGGATTGAACTCAGGGCCACTCGACTACTGAGCCATATCCCCAGCCCTGTTTTATATTTTATTTAGAGACAGGGGTCTCACAGAGTTGCGTAGGGCCTCACTAGTTTTGAGGCTGACTTTGAACTTGTGATCCTGCTGCCTCAGGCTCCCAAACTGCTGGGATTACAGGCGTGTGCTACCACACCCAGCCTAAATGTACACTTGAATATCCCAGTTCCCATTGTGCGCTTTGAACAAATTACCTCATCTTTTTGTGCCTCAGTCCCTCATTGGCATAATAGAGATAGAAATAAGAGATTTTCATGGGCTCTTGTGAGGATTAAATGAGTTAGTATATATCAGAGTTTGGATAGTGCCTGAATATAGTAAGTTACTCAGTGTTAGTTACTATTTCTACCCTCCCAGAGTACAGCCAAGAAACAAGGTGGGCACAGGTGCTACTGCCATGTGATCATAGGAAGAGGCTTAATGAGGCCTTATTAAGGTTTGCTTTTCAGAGTAAGACCAACTTACAGATGAGATGACTTTGCTGTGGAGGGGAGGTAGCCTAGCTCATCACAAGTGGCTTCATTCTTGACACAAAGTGGGCAACTCACTTTAATATGTTGCACAAATTATCTTCCTTCTCCTCTGTCATTGTGTGTCTGTCATCTGGTGGGTGCTCAGATTTTCATTCTGAAGACCCTGAGGTTTGGGCTTCTGCAGAGTCCATGGGTCTGAGCCAGTACAACAACAATACTTATGTTAAGAAAAGAAAACAAATTTACTGCTTTTGGTGTTGATTTGGTTTCTTTTTCTAGGGCTTTGAGATGGGATGTTAGGTAATTTATTTACTAACTTTCTATTCTTTTAATGAATGAGCTCAATGCAATGAACTATCTATCCTCTTAGCACTGCCTTCATAGTGTCCCAGAGATTTTGATATTTTGTATCAGGGTTCTCATTTACCACTAAGTATTTTTTTTTATATCATCCCTATTTCTTCTGCTATCCATTCATCATTCAGTAGTGTATTATTTAATCTTTATGTGTTAGAATAGCTTCTATTTTTTAAATTTTATCATTGATTTCTATTCCATTCCATTATGATCTGATAGAATGCAAGGTATTATTACCTAGGTGCCCTTCACACAGAAGAATGAAATTAGGGCATTTGCAGGTAAATGGATGGAGCTGGAGAACCAATCCCCCAAACCAAAGGCCAAATGTCTTCTTTGATATGCAGATGCTGATCCAAAATGGGGGGAGGCTAGGGAAGAATGAACTTTCACTTTTTTCTATCATTTATAATCCCTATTATCCTACTAGTATTTGCAGCATCTGCCAGCATGTATAACTAATTAGAACAAATTAAAAAAAAAAAGAAAAAGAAATCTAGAAGAGGGTAAAGTGGGAAGACCAGTGAAAGAAAGTATAAAGCAAATTAAAAACATAATGTCAAAAAAAATATTGGGGGAAGATTCATTATCTTTTGAATTTTGTTCCATGTGCATATATAATTAAATAAAAAATATATAATTTTTTTCAGAAACTAGAATTAAGTCTTCTCTATGAAAACTAAGAGATAAAAGTTGAGAGGTAATTGAATTTGAAACCTCCAGGTTGGGGGTAGAGCTCAGAGGTCAAGAGAATTCTTAGCATGCTGGGTTCAATTCCCAGCATCTCATCCAACCTAAAATGAGTAAAGCTTGACCCAGCAGAAGTTTAGGGGTCCTCTGTTATGCAGGCTCATCCACACATTCATTTTTCTTTTTTCTTAAGCACAGCATCTGCGTCTTTAATTAAAATATTTACAGAGCTATTGTTAGTAGCTAGGATTTTTGTTATGCCACACACCTGTGTATTTCCTAGTTTCTCTTCTTGAAACAGATATATTAAGTTCTATTAAATACTTAAGATGTGTAGCTAACGAAAAGTGGAGGTATTTCAATAGAAATTATTCTTAGGAGCTTAGAAATAGTTGTGCCTGGTAGTTTTACAATGTTGGAGTAGAGCATTGTGCAGTTTCCTGAACATACTCACATTATCAGTTGATCCTCTGCACAGAAGCCCCATGTGATTCTTGCTATTCTCAGCTTTGTCCATGAACTAAAATTAGAACTAAGCTGACATTACACTTCACTTGGTTACAGCCAGACGGTGGATTTTAGTCATTTGAAACCACACGGAAAAAAATTCACCCCATAATCTATTCTTCGATGATAATCACTAACTTTGGGCATGACAGCTTCAGTGTCCACCAATGATGGTAAGTATTTTTCCATTTTCCAAAAAACATTTCTTCTCCATTCTTTATTCTATCTCAATAGAGTGCTGATGATGACTTTGTGTCTATAATTGCCGCTTGGGATTGAATTTAAGTATTTTTTGGATCCATAATCACTTATACAATTGTCCTCCTCTGGAAGATAGATTCCCCTACAAGCTGGAAGCATCTCTTCTATGGTATTTCTTTTGACTTTGAGAAGCCGACCCTCCATCATGTCATTGCCATCCTTACCTTACTGCCATGCTGTTCTGTTCCAGGAATTACCAAGGTAGAGACCACTGTTCTGTGTTAGAGGCAGAAATGCAAGCATTATCACTGACTTGTTTTCCTTTAAGGGAAATTGGTCATTAGATGAAAATCAAATGACCAAAATTTAACAGCCAAAGAGGAAATGAATTAGCAAATGACCAAACAGTGATATGTGTGTAGTAAAATTCCTATATACATGCAGATAGCTGGGATTTTAAAATATTTTTAATATTTGATATTATTTAAAGTATTTACCAAATACTTTAAAATGTGAGACAACAAATTATAGGTGATATGGCCAGATTGTTGAATTACCAAAAAGATTTCTTTTTTTCTTTCTTTTTTTTGTTAAGTATTTTTTTAGTTGTAATTGAACACAATACCTTTATTTTATTTATTTATTTTCATGTGGTGCTGAGGATCGAACCCAGCACCTGGCAGGTGCTAGGCAAGCGCTCTCCTGCTGAGCCACAACCCAGCCCCACCAACAAGATTTCTTGATGACAAAATGCTCTTGCAGTCTGTTCCTTGTATTGCTTAGAAATGGGGACTTTCTTAATAATTTTCTGAATACTGTTAATTACATAGCAATCCTGGCTTTTTTCTTCTGTAATACAGTCCTCTCTCTCTCTTCTCTCTCTCTCTCTCTCTCTCTCTCTCTCTCTCTCTCTCTTTCTTTCTCTTTATCTTTCTGTGTGTCTCTCTCACATACACTGCATAATTTTAGTTTAAAAATATCCATAATTTAGAGTCAGTTATGATGGTGCATGCCTGCAATGCCCACAACTCTGGAGGCTGAGGCAAGAGGATTGCAAGTTCAAGGCTAGCCTGGGCAAGTTAGTGAGACCCTGTCTCAAAATTTAAAAAAATAAAAAGAGATGGCAATGGAGTACCATAAAAAAAATCAATAATTTAGAAAAGATTAACAATGAAAAGCAACATTGTTTACCCCATTTCTCACTATTACCATCCTGCTCCCTAGAAGTAAACATTGTAACCATTTTGGGATTTAATTTTCAGGGATTATTTGCAAATTTCCTTTTTTGAAGTTAGATACATGCTATTTCTTATTGATTTCAGGCATTATCTATGGAAGCTTTATTATGAGATGATGATTAAGTTCCCTTGTACCCCATAATGTGATGTTTTTAGTGTCTTTCTTGATTCCTTTTTCTTACTGTAAATTTTGTTTGTTTTGTTTTTTATGAGACAGGGTCTCACTATACTGTCCAGGCTGGCCCTGAACTCTTGGGTTCAAGCCACCCTCCTACCTCTGCCTCCTGGGAAGCCAGAACTACAAGCATGTGTGACCAAGATGGCTTTAAAATGTTTTAATATCAATGTAAAAGGAGACCAGAGTTTTATAAGCAGATTTTAGAACACTAATATTCATTTCTAAAATGACATCTTTTCTTTTTAGAAGCCTCAATGTGAATACCTATAAATCTTACACAACATATTTGTTCCATTTTAACATATCTATAGCTGACAAACATGTACTATAATTTTCAAATCAAAGGCCTCTAGTGGAAACAGTCAAGTTAAAAATGAAGTGTTTTAATTTCATTTTTGGTCTTGAAATCCAGCAAGAGACTCCCTTTCCCCTCACAGCTTAGAAAAAAACACTTCAAATTCCTTTCTAGAGGACTGGTGGTGTTGGCAGCTTTTAATTCTCTTTGTCAGCATCTAGACATCTCTGGTTCAGTTTATGTATATTAACGTCACAGTTCCAGTTGCTGAAAATGCCTCATGATTTTCTTCACTTTATTACAATTTGGTATGGCACCTGTCACCAAGGCACAGTGTGGGAAAAGAGCCACCAGGAACACAATGGTCTTACTACAGAGTTAGCCATACACCCTGGGTCTGTCAACTCAGTGAGGATACTAAGGGAAATATAAAATTCTAGGAGGCATGCTTTTTTCCTTTTTATTTTTACTATTTTGAAAAAACACTGCTTAGAACATTCTTGTTCATGTTTCCTAGTGGTGACATACCCTTCCCCAGTAGGGATTGCCAATGAGTGGAACTGCTGGATTATAAACTGCATATTCTACTCCAGAGTGATTAAGAATGTATATGAATTTATATGACTCAAATTTCCAGTAGCATTTGGTGTAGTCAGGTTTTTTTTTCTTTTTTAGTTATACTTGGACACAATACCTTTATTTTATTTTTTTATTTCTATGTGGTGCTGAGAATCAAACCCAGTGCCTTTCATGAGCTAGGCAAGTGCTCTACTGCTGAACCACAACCCCAGCCCCAGTCTTTTTAAATTTGATTACTCTGATAGGTGTGTGTTGGTATTTTATTATGGTTTTAATTCACTTTCACAAGGTTGAACAGAATTTCATGGGTTTTTGGGGGGGTGTTTCTGCCATTTATATTTCATCTTTTGAATTAACTGTTCAATTGTTGACTCCCCCCCACCCCTTTGATGCTGGAGATCAAATCCAGAGCCTTATTCATGTTAAACATGCACTCTACCACTGAGTTCTGCCCCCAGCCCTGTTGTCTTTTTAAGTTGATTTTTAGGAATTCTTTATCTATTTAGATAGAGCTCATTTGTGGTGACATGTGCCACCAATATCTTCCCCACTACATGGTATTTCTTTTATTTTCTAAGTGACATCTTTTAATAAAGTTCATAATTAATATAGTCCGATCTATCAATCTGTTCCTTTAAGGATATTCTTTGTATTCCATTTTAGGAAGTGTTCCTTAGAGTGGAATGTAGAGCACTTGCCTAGCTTGTATGAGGCCTTAGGTTCAATCCCAGCACCTGGAAAAAAAAAAAAGTATTCTCTACTTTAAGGACATATATCTTATATTTTCTCCCCAAACCTTTATGTTTTGGGAGACTTGCACTATCACTTATAGAGCTATAATACATCTGGAATTAAATTTGGTTATATATATAGTTTAAACTGTCCAAAAAATCATTCTGGCAGTATTCTGCAATGCTCATTTATGAATGGGATCTGTTTCTTGGGTTTCTTATTCAATTACATTGATCTGTTAGTGCACTGAACCAATACAACACTCTCTACTACTAAAGCTTTAAAAGAGGTCTTGATAGAATAAATCCTCCTACTCTAATTTTCTTTGTCATGAGTATTTTGGCTATTTTGTATGTTTAGAATTGTTATTAATATTAGAATATGAAAGTCAAGGTAGCCCTCTTGGTTTCCAGATGGGTTTTTTTGAGACTGTTTATAGCTCAATTTGGAAATATCTGATGTTCTTACAATATTGAATCATAAATATGATGTAGAACTCTTATTTAGGTCTTTAATTTCATTATATTTTTTAGTTTACTGTGTAGAGGTTGTACCCAGTCTGTTTATTCTTGAGAACTTGGTTTTTTGCACCATATAAAATGGTATCTTTAAAAAGTTAGTATCTGCTTTGCAGCTGGGCTCAATGGCCCACATCTATAGCATTCAGGAGGCTGAGATAGAAGGATTTCTTGAGTCCAGAATTTTAAGGCCAGCTTGGGCAACACAGCAAGATCCTGTTAAAAAACAAAAAGGAATATGGACTAGTATACTAGTTTTGGGAACTAGAAAGTGTCCAGTAAATATTAGGTATTATGATTATTACATTTTTCCTCCAGTACTGGGGATTGAACCCAGAGTCTCATGCATGCTATCTACCACTAAACCATGTCACCATCCCTTTTTCTTTTATTCTGAGACACAGCCTCATTTAGTTTCCCAAGCTGGTCTCAAACTTGCAATCCTTCTGCCTCAGCCTCCAGAGGAATTGGAATTACAGATGTGAGCCACCACACTCACTTCAATGAACATTTGAAACACATTGCTTTTTTTTTTTTTTTTGTGATTCAATTAGGTCCTTTCTGAGGTGGCATCTGTGATTTAGCAGTTCAGAACTTAATGAAGCTGATGACTCTATGACAATGTGGAGAAATCATGACAGAAAATGTGGTTTGTACTGGAGCTGTTAATGCTGTAAAAGAAGTGTGGGAAAAACGAATAAAGAAACACAACGAAGATCTGAAACGAGAGAAGGAATTTCAACACAAGTACTTACTATATTTACTATTTTGGATTAGTGAAAATTCATAATCTCATCATTATAAAAATCACTTATGAAGTGCCTCATTGTTGAATTTTATAGAGATTTTTATTTACAGAATGTTCAAAATATGCTTAAATACCTGACTCAATTAAATTCTGCCTATGTAACGAGAGTTACAAAAATAATATCTGTGTGTGAGAATAGTAGTTATACTGTGCCCTCATAGGACTTAGCATTCATTAAGGTTTGATTAGTATCACTTGATCTAATTTCCAGGCTTGTTTTGTGCAGCATTAATCTTTTAGGATCTAAAAAAAACCAAACATCTGGCAGTAGAAGGTACTACTTATTCCCACCTACTTGAGTGGCTGTGAGTTCCAGCAGGATCATCTAATTCCTTGATTGGGGCTATCTTTAAATAGTATGGCTCTCATTTCCTCTGCCTCCTTGATATTTTACCTACTTTTCTAATTGGTTGTCTTGAAAATCCTCTGCTAATCTTTCAGAAATAGCCCATTTCCTCATAGTAAATAATATAAAAATGATGTAATTGAATAGCTAGCATTACGCAATTTGTCTCAACTTGCCACACCTATCTTCCTATGAGCTATTCAGAACCTTCATTAAGTTCTGAATAGCTCATAGGAAGATGAGCTATTCAGATTAGAAGGCCACAGGAACCCCATTATCACAATGCACTTGTTAACTAATTAGAAATTTCATGCAACCGAGAGATTAGAACAAACAGACTTTATTAGAAGTATTTTGCAAACCTAAACACATAAAGACAGCAAATACTTGCAGGGTTTTTGTTTTGTTTTCTATTCTTTAAAACCCTCACTGAAAATAAGTTAACACACAAAACTTCAAAAATTCTCAGATGTCAAGATATTTTTGGCAAATAAATATACAAATTAATTAAACCTTATTTTTTGATGACTGCTTTTTAAAAATTATGTACTTTTTAATAGGCTAATTTGATTCTAAACTTGATTCTAAATTTGATTTCTTTGCTTTTTCATATGTGAAAAAATTTCTAGGGGCTGGGGTTGTGACTCAGTGGTAGAGTGCTCCCTTAGCATGCATGAGGCACTGGGTTCAATCCTCAGCACACATAAATATAAAATGAAGATATTGTGTCCACCTGTAACTAAAAAATAAATATTAAAAACATTTCTAGGATACAAATAGAAAAATTTTTGCATCTCTTTGTTGTCTTTATAGTCAGCATAGTATATGCACATTATTCTTATATATGTTCTCAATGGATAAACTATATTTGGTATAGTGCTTGCCTTGAATGTGTGAGGCCTGGGTTGCACCCCTAGTACGGTGACAAACAAAACATTAACTATCTAAGGATTAGTCAGCAGGAAAAAGCACATCAAACCCACAATGTGATACCATTCACAACCACTAGATGGATATAAAAAAAAGTGGGCAATAACAAGTATTGGTGAGGGTGTGGGGAGATTAGAACTCTGATACACAGATGGTAGGGGGTCTAAAATGGTATAGCCAATTTGGAATTTAGTTTCAGTTTGGGATTTCCTAAAAAGACTAAACATAAAGTTACCATATGACCCAGAAATTCTGCTCCTAAAGATATACCCAAGAGAAATAAAAACATATAATCTGTCAAAGGAAAAATTACAACAATTTAAAGATCTTAACTGGCTTTCTTTTTAATTCTAGAATTAGGCAACACTTCCATGAAATAGAATACTGTGTTCTGAGGGATTGAACAGAAGAAGTTACTTTTATAGACAGAAAAGGACTGAAAAAAGCAAAAACAAAGTTACTTTCAAACTTTGTTTCTAAGTTGTTTTCTCTGTAAGACAGGAAAAGGAAGATAAAACAATAGAAAATTAATTGGCTAACATTGGATTACTTCAAGTTACCTTCTTTGTACAAGGAAGAAGGCAGAGAGAACTTCACTGCCATTCTAGGAAACTGAATGGAAAGTTGGCTGTTAACTTTCTCTTCTGATTTCTTGGCATGGTCAGATAACAATTTAGTTTCTGTTTTGTGAATTGGAACCTTAGCATGGGTGACTTTATTTTGATTTTCCGTTTCTTTTCTTTTTGGAGCTTAATCCAAAATAATGGCCTCATATCTGGGCATGATGACTGTAATTCTAGCTAATTAGGAAGCTGAGGCAGGAGAATTGCAAGTTCAAGGTCAGCCTCTGCAACCTAACAAGACCCAATATAACAAATAAAATAACAAGGACTGGGGATATAGCTTAGTGGTAGAGTATCCCTGGATTCATTTCCCAATATAATAATAGCTTAATAACCTCCCCAAAATTTTAATAGTTCACACAAAAACTTATACCCATACGTTTGTAGTAACATTATTCATAAAAGCCAAAGAATAGAATTATCCAAATACTGATCAACTGTTGAATGAACAAACATGATAAACTCATCTGATGAAATCATTCTGCCATAAAAAGAAATGAGTACTGATACATGTTACAGCATGAATGAGCTTTGAATAAAAATATACTAAGTGAAAGATGCCAAACACAGACACACATTGTATGATCCTATTTATATGAAATGTGCAGAATAGGCTATTAGTAATTCCCAGGGAATAGGGAAGGGGTATGGATAAGGAGATTTTTTTGTTTAATGGTAAAGTATTTTGGATTTAGATAATGGTGATGATTGTATAACGTTGTGATTATACTAAAACCTACTGAACTGTATACTTTAAATGATGCATTTTGTGCTATGTGAATTATATCTCAGTAAAACTATTATGAATAAAATTTATGAAGAATTATGGTCCTTATCAAAAACTTAGCACTGGAATTATATCTCAGAGGTAGGGCATTCATTTACAATACAAAAAATTCTTGGCTCAATCTCTAACACCAAAACAACAACAACAACAACAAAATAGTTCTACTGAACCTAAGTTCATCTACTCACCACTCAAAAGCCAATACTTGAGAGATGAGGAGGTGGGGTGAAAAAAATCAGGTTTATTCAAGAGCCAACAAAATGGAAGATGGAGAGGGCTATCAGCCCCCATCCTCCTCATCAAAGACCATCTTAGGGAACTATTGTATGCAAAAAGACCTTTGTAGAGACGGAAAGGATGTTCAGGGGGCAGTGGGTAGGTACTTGCTGGGCTGGGTCTTGGTCATCAAGGGCAAGTGTCTCCTTTCTCCCCAACCCCAACTAGAACACTGCAATTGATCTTGGCTTCCTAAGGCTAGTTCCTATAATTTTTTTTAAAAATATCTATTTTATTAGCTGTTGATGGAATTTTACTTGTTTGTTTCTTTGTTTGTTTATTTATATGTGGTGCTGAGATTCAAACCCAGAGGCTCACACATGCTGGGCAAACATTCTACCACTAAGCCCCAGCCCCAGCCCTAGTTCCTATAATTATTTAGATAAACATAACTTTTCTGCAAGTTAAATTTTATAAAAATTGATGTTTTATGTTAGTTGATGCACAGGACTTAAGAATGGGCTATTATACATTCTAATGTTATCTCGAGATCACCAGATAATCTGGGTTCTGAAAATCTAAAAAGAAAGATAATAATTAGATGCTTTTTTTTAAAATTTAGAATTCAAGGCAAGTGGAGGGGAAGTATCTCTACAAAGGTCAACTTCTAAAGGATCAGCCACAGTTAAAATAAGGCATTTGTGGTACTAATCATATGTATAACTTTTGCTAAATAAAATCTCATCCTGTTTCCAGATACCATTGAATCAATGTTTTTTTATTTTGGTTTATTTGGGTATTAAGGATTGAACCCAGGGGTGCTTTACCACTAAGCTATATCCCCATCCATTATTTTTTGAGATAGGGTCTTGCTAAATTGCCCAGGCTGTCCTCCAATTTCTGATTCTCCTGACTCAGTCTCTGGAGTAGCTGGGATTACAGGATTACTGCACCTACCTTCCCAAGTTGTTTTTGATGGGCTATTTTATTTTATTTATATGAAAATGAACACTACCTTTGTCATTATCTATAAGTCAAAATGATTACCTGATCTCCTAGGCTAGTGCGGATCTGGGAAGAGAGAGTAAGTTTAACTAAGCTCAAAGAAAAGGTCACCAGGGAAGATGGAAGGGTAATTTTGAAGATAGAAAAAGAAGAATGGAAGGTAAGCTTTATGGAAGTAATATTTTATTTTTCTACTTTTTGCAATTTGTGGAAGAGTTGAAAATGAATCTGAGACTGTGTAATTAATACAGGAATAATTGAAAATTCCTCCTCTTCCTCCTCCTCCTCCTCTTCCTCCTCTTTCCTTCTCCTTCTCCCTCTCCTTCTTCTTCTCCTTCTCCTTCTTACTAGAGATTGAACCCAGGGCCTTGTGCATGCTAGGCAAGCACTCTACCAACTGAGCGATATCCCCAGCCCACAATTCTAATATTAATAATACACCAAATGAATCTGGACAACATAAACAATAGAAAACAAACATCACATTTTTTTTTGCAAAAATCAATTTGCTTTAATCTTGCCTAAATTTAAGTCACATGTGATATTTCTTCTTCTAATACTAATAGGCAGTTTCTCATTTGCCATGAATGGATGACTATCTACTTAATGAAAATTATGTAGCTTTTCCCCAAAAAAATGCTCAGTTAAAACTTCTCAAAGTGGAAATGAATATCAATTTATCTGTTGGGTGTATCTTCCAGTTCATATGCTTTTTTCCCTCCCTTGCACGTATGTGCATACAGATATACAGTGGCTTCATTATGTTAGATATACTTTAATTTTTTCAAGGGCTTCTAACCCATCAGTGTTTGTTTTTATTGTCATTATTGTTATATATCTCCATGAAAACAAATGCTTACTGAAGGGTTAGAAGCCCTTGTAAAAATGATATATATTTTAATATTTTTTTAGTTGTTGAGAGACCTTTATTGTATTTATTCATTTATATGTGGTGCTGAGGATTGAACCCAGTGACTCACACATGCCAGACAATTGTGCTACTGCTGAGCAATAGTCCCAGCCCCAATATAGGTATATTTAACTATGTGGTTAGCTCCTTTGTTTTCTTTTCTATTTTACACTGAAAGAGAAAAGGCATAAAATTCAGAATAGTTCAAACTCTTGTAATTCCTCACTTTAAAAAATTCTATAAAAATTTTTATGAAATACTTCAAAATAGAAGTAAAAGGGACATTTAAATTATGAACAAAGATGTTTTCTGGATAGTCTCATTTTCAATAGCATATGTAGTCTAGGAAAGCCAGATATAACATGATCTTTAGGATAGACTTCAATGTATGTGCATAACTGACCAAAATGTGTTATTTTTGTTTATTGCATTTAATTGAGGTTGGAAGTTTTAGTTAAAAAAATAAAAAGCATAAAGATCTTAAAACTTAGTAACACAAAATACTTGGAAATATAACCCATTAAGAGAAAGAAACATTTCTAAATGTTTTCACAAATTAAATAAAATCACACTTCAGGATGGTATAATACAAAAATAGTTTAAGTAATATGTCTCCATTATTTCTTTTACTTTAGAGTCTCCCTTCTTCTTTACTGAAGCTGAATCAGCTACAGGAATGGCAAATTCATAGAACTGGTTTGTTGAAAATTCCAGAATTCATTGGAAGATTCCAGAACCTTATTGTGTTAGATTTATCTCGAAACATAATTTCAGAAATACCTCGAGGAATTGGTAAAGATTACTTTTATTCCTGTGCTATTTTATCTTCTTGAAGATGTGCTTATTTTATTGAGTTTTTGATAACATGGAATAAATATATCTTTATATATCTGAATTATAAGAAAATTTTTAAACATTTAGTCTAAATTGAAGCTTCTAGGGGATCCAAGATAATGGATTTACTGAGATGATTCAAGATGAGATTTCAATGTGAGCAAAATATCTTTAAAAATATTGTTCTATAGATTTCGAAAACAATATTACTGGTTTAGCTATTCCTCAGACAGGTTGGAAGCAATAAAGAAAAACAGATTTGTCAAATAGAGAGCAAAATTCTCACATGGAAAATTGCTTAGGGTGTAGTTTCTTTGTTTTTATTGTCATTATTGTTTGCAGTGTTGGGGATACAACCCAGGCCCTTGTGCATGCTAGGCAAGCCCCTTACCATTGAGCTACACTCCACCCCAGGATGTACATAAAACAGAATGAAAATAAGTTTTTGTTTTGTTTTTTCCCCATGGCACTGATAAATCTATCCATTGTTTAAAGAAGAGGCAGGATGCAGACTGGGAACAGGGAAGAATATAAGAACTCTGAATTTGCCAATACACAAATAATTTCTGCTGTAATTATTCAGGAAAACAGTACTTTATGTCCATCTTCTTTCTATTGTGTACTTTTTTTTTTTTTTTTTTTTTTTTTTTTTTTTTGTAGGACTGCTCACTAGACTTCAGGAACTGATTCTGAGCTACAACAAAATCAAGACTGTCCCCAAGGAATTAAGTAATTGTGCCAGCTTGGAGAAACTAGAACTGGCTGTTAACAGAGATATATGTGATCTTCCTCAAGAGGTCAGAAAGCTCTAAATGCCTAAGATGTTATTTTCCCTCTACTGGAACTTTGCTTTTCAATCATGTGATTGTTAAAAATGAAACTAAAAAGAAAATGCTACAAATTTTATTTCAGAAAAATATTTAGTGAAGATTATTTCCTATTATTATAAAGCAGGTTTTTAATTAGAGAAAAATCTATTTAGCATAACTTCTATTATTGTCACAGTGATACTGAAAGCTTGACCCTTGTCCCTGAAGCTAATCCAATAACGAGGACAAGATTTTTGAGAAAAAAGAAAAAGGTTTTATTGATTTGCTGGCAAATGATAAAATATAGTGGACACACATCTTAGAGACTGTGATTCTAACTGCCAGGGGGAAAAAGAATAGATATAATTCGTTGTTCAACTTATATTCTTTGAGAAAGCTGTTTTTCCAGGTTCCAGACTGGCATTTCTTTATTGTTGAGGGGATGAAGCAGAAAGATTGATAGCAGTGACTTAGGACAGGAATAATGTCACTCTTGCTTCCCCAGGGTTAGGGAAGAAAGAGGGAGAAAAGGGAGGGGAAAAATATATTAGTTTAAAAAGAAGCCAGTAGTGGTCAAGCAACAAGGTTTATATTTAAAGCATAGGGTGGAATCATGTATGACAATACTGAGGTTGTTTTTTGACTAAACTGTCATCCCCTTGAAGGCCAGAATAAGAGTTTTATTTATTTAAATTCCTAGAATTGGGTTGGGGTTGTGGCTCAGAGGTAGAGCACTTGCTAAGCATGTGTGAGGCACTGGGTTCGATCCTTAGCATCACATAAAAATAAAATATTGTGTCCACCTGTAACTAAAAAAATAGATATTAAAAAAATAAATTCCTAGAATTGAGGGCAATCCTAGCTTATTGTGGTTACTTAATAAATGCTTTTTAGAATGAATGATTATTATAAAGCACAGAAAATGTGGTGATAGAAAAACTTTTTACTAGTTGGTTTTTGTGACAGAGGTGAAGTGTAAGGCATGAATTCTAGGAAATCTATTTCTTGCTAGCTTCCTAGGCTCTTCAAACTTTGATTTGGCATGATGTCATTGCTTAAACCAAATTGATCATATAAATATAAAGACATTTGCATTGCTTTCTATATATTAATGCTCTTAGAATCAGCCATGGAAATGTCCAATGTCTTGAAAACAATCATGACTTCATAAAATAATAGCTAAGAAAAATAATGAAGCCCAAACTAAAAATCTATTCCCTTTTCCTATTTATCTTGAGAGCATATCAGACTTTTTCCACAAGAGTGAACATGTAGCCAATAATAACTTCTCTTGCAAGTAAAATATAGTATATATGTTTCATAATATAATAGTTGCATTTAATGAAACATATGCCCTTCCATATGGTGAAAATTATCACATGGAAAATTTCTTTACACACACAGAAAGATCAGTAAATCTTTTTTTCTAATCCTTGTGACTTTGTTTCTAGGATTGGCTGTCACTAACAAGTTGTGTGAATTTATGCATGTCTATAAACCAGTTTATCTTAGTTTCTTCCCTTTAGGAGACTGGTTACATAGGAATAAAAATATTGAGCTGGGATTGTTCCATTCCAAAGTGTGGCCTTTAAGTAACTCTGTGTCCTTGGATACACTTTACACTTTAGATCTCAGTTTTTACATATGCAAAATTAGAATTGTCATATTATCATTACTTTAATATCTTTTCAATCATCTAAAGTCAACATTTTATTACTACTGAAAAATCAGCAATTGGACACTCATCTGTCCTATTTTTTTAATACTTATTTTTTAGTTGTAGTTGGACACAATACCTTTACTTTCATTTATTTTTATGTGGTGCTGAAGATCAAACCCAGGGCATGTTAGGTGAGCATGTTAGGTGAGCACTCTAACACTGAGCCACAATCTCAGCCCTGTCCTATGATTTACACACTGTTTACATATAAATATGTAAATGATAATGTTAAAACAATATTTTTATATGCTATTTGAACCATTTGGAAATTTATGAAATGTGATGACAGATTTTGAAAATGTTTATTTGGGACTTGGATTCTAAATCTGGAGAAACATCATCACCTACTAGACAGAACCTCCTGGGTTTTTGTACAATTTACAAAACATTGTATTTGTGTACTTTTTGTTGTGGTACAGATATTGCAGAAGAAATGAACATGCCTCAAGAGAAAATAAAACATAGCCACTTCCCACAAATAGATAATATTTTTGTAAAAGTCAATGAAATTCTTGCATATTGAAACTTCCACTAGAATGAAAAAAGAGGAAGAAATTGTGTGGTTTTTAAATCCATAAAATCTTGAGTTCTCTTCATAGATCTATCACTCCTAGTTATATGACCTGTTTGAGACATTTGATTCACAATGAAGCCCAAACTAAATGGACATTCACATTGTTTGGTTGATGTCAGAATTAGTCACTTGTTGCTGGGGGTGTAATCCCAGGACCTCAGGAGGCTGAGGCAGGAGGCATGAGTTCAAAGCTAGCCTCAGCAATTTAGTGAGGTTCTAAGGAACTCATTGAGTCCACTTCTCTAAATAAAATATTAAAAAGGGCTGAGTGTGGGCCGGGGTTGTGACTCAGCAGTAGAGTGCTCACCTAGCACATGCGCAGCCTTGGGTTCAATCCTCAGCACCACATAAAAATAAATAAATAAAGGTACTTTGTTCAACTAAAACTAAAAAATAAATATTTATTTTAAAAAAAGGAGCTGGGCATTTTTATCCTATATACATGTATGATTACACTAGTGGAGTGACTCTGAACCATGTACAACCAGAGGAATGAGAAGTTCTGCTCCATTTGTGTACTATATGTCAAAATGCATTCTACTGTAAAATAAATTGGAAAAAAAAAAGGGCTCAGTAGTTAAGTGCCTCTGGGTACAGTGGTAGGCTCGGTGTCATGGCACATGCCTGTAATCCAATTTGATATTTGACATAAATATATAAATATATAAGTCATTAGACACAAACTTTCAACAAAGAAAACTGTTGTTTGGAAGATTAAGTTTCCCCATATAATTCTCAACTACTGAATGAAATGAAAACATGATACTAAATAGTTACTCTCACAGTGGGGAAAAAAATTTTACCACACAGGCCCTGTTAACTCTGGAACTAGATTATTGTGGAAGATAAATTTTCTTTGAGTAGATGCAATTTCTTTCTTCTTTTCTCCTTTATTTGGACCTGGGGATTGAACCCAGAGCCTTGCACATGCCCAGAACACACTCTACCACTGTGTGGAATTATATCCCTAGTCCCAAATAGGTACAATTTCTTTGAGAGTTTATTATATCACTGGAGTTTGTTTATTCAGCTTTATTTTTATTTTTAGTTTGTTCTGGCCTACTGTGCTTAAATTTTTTTAAAGCCCAAGTGCAATTCAAATGTTCATTGATATGATGTATCTCCTTTACCAATGTGAGTCTTCTAGGAATTTACATTGTAGACATTTATTTTGAAAAACCTTGCTTTCCTCTTCAGCTCAGCAGTCTGTTAAAACTAACTCACCTTGATTTGAGTATGAACCAATTTACTACAATCCCTCCTGCTGTGTTGAACATGCCTGCCCTTGAGTGGCTGGACATGGGAAGCAACAGACTTGAACAACTTCCTGATGCTATAGAAAGGTAAAATGAGTAACTTTGTATGCTACTGACAAATGCCTTAAAACCATCTGTGAAAAATAGGAACTAACAAGACAAAGGAGATGCCAAGTATAATCAACCAGAACAGATCCATTTAGTTTGAAATATGCTGTCTTTAAACAGAATTATTTCATTGATTCTAAATAAGTGAAAGGAATTTGGGATGGAAAATCTGGCTATTTGACTTCAAGACATTAACAGAATATACCATAGTGAGAACAACATTGCTTAGTGAATGCAAGGTATTGTGTGCTTTACAAAAGAATGGGAAAACCAAGCACAGAGATGTTAGCAAACTAGCCTAAGGTTAGTTAGTAATCATCTAATTTTTTAGGATTTGAACCCAGGCATGCTGGCCCATTCCATGCTGTTAACCATTATGCATTAATGCCTTCTTCTGAACAAGCATGTTAATATTTTCTGATTTTTCTCTTAAGAGTCCAATAACAGCAGAATCTAAGAAAAATGAAGAAAACTAAAATATTTTTATTTCATTTTTACTACCATATGATATGAGAGCTATATGGTAGAGATTAATTCCACATGTAGTTTCTCTAATAATCAGGTAATCTAAAATCATTAATCTAAGTAGCTGGTGTGGTGGCATGTGACTATAACCAGAGACTATGGAGACTGAGGCAGGAGAACACAAGTTCAAGGTTAGCCTCAGCAACTTAGCAAGACCCTGTCTTTTTCAAAATAAAAAGGAGTTGGGATATAGTTTAGTAGTAAAAGGGCCCCTGGGTTCAATTGCCAGCATTAAAAAACAAAACAAAACAAAAAAGAAAAAGAAAAAAGTATGTTGGCTAAAAGACATATTATAGGAACCAGGTGTGGTGGTGCATGCCTGTAATCCCAGCAGCTCCAGAGGCTGAGAAAGGATTGGGATTTCAAAGCCAGCCTCAGCAACAGCAAGGCACTAAGCAACTCAGTGAGACCCTGTCTCTAAATAAAATACAAAATGGGGCTGAATATGTGGCCAAGTGTCCCTGAGTTCAATCCCTGGTACTGCCTGCCCCCCCCAAAAAAGACATATTACAGGGCTGAGGTTGTGGCTCAGTGGTAGCGCTCTTGCCTAGTATGTGTGAGGCACTGGGTTCGATCCTCAGTACCACATATAAACAAATTAAATAAATAAATAAAATAAAATAAAAAAAAGGTTAAAAAACAACAACAACAAAAAAGACATATTACAAAAGAGGACATCTGATTTTTAAGGTAATAAGAACCTAGTTTTTCATATTATATATGACTAATCACAGAAATCTCTTTTATTTCTTCAGAATGAAAAGTCTGCATACATTTTGGCTACAACGGAATCAAATAACATGCTTGCCAGAAACAATCAGCAATATGAAAAATCTGGGCACCATTGTTCTCAGCAACAATAAACTGCAAGATATTCCACTATGCATGGGAGAAATGGAAAATCTGAGGTAAAAATTGTAAGATACAAAATGACATGTTCATTTCTGGCCACAGAACAAAGTAACATAAGTTGTTTATATTAATAAATTGGATCCTTACTTGTAAGAATGGATATATTTTAAAAAATCTTTGTCAATGTTAAAATTCTGTAATTTGATGCTTTGGATTCATATAATAAATTATTCAAGAAAGATACTTGAAACTAAGTACCGAGATTGATCATTTTTAAGAAATATCTTATGTTGGTGGCATTTTCACAAAAATTATCTTCAGACTGCTAGCAATTCTCATCAGCAACATAAAAACTAAAAGTTTTCACCAATAAAATAGTGATTATTTTCCTCTTAATTACAAATGGACAAAAAACTCTTACCAATAAAAAACAGATACAATTTTTATTAGTTATTATCAGGACTCCATGAAAACAGATATAATTTTTATTAGTTTTATCAGAACTCCATCATGTTTTTTTTCAAAATTTAATTTTCTGACAAAATAATAGACATTAAATCCAAAAACTAGTACAAATCATCCTTCATTCATTCACTTATTCAGCAACTATAAGCCTTGTGCTAGATGGTAAAAACACATTTATAGATCTGTATAAAACAGATCTATAAAATAGGCAGAAACTAAATTCATAGCATTATTTATTTAAGATGCATTAAAAGTGCTCTTTAAAGTTAAACTGTATCACATTAAATATATGCTATGAAATAATACTTCTTTTACTAAGCTTAGAAAATAAGTTGTCTAAAGCTAATATTTTTTTCTTCTAGGAAAGAAACTTAAAAGATTCTTGGGGTATATCACATCTCACCAAGATGTTCAGTTATTGAAATCAGTTAAAAAAAAGAGTAATTTAGTATATTGTCATTTGATCTTTCTCCAGGAAAATAAATGTACACTTCCATGGCATCTATAAAAATATTGTTTTTTGGTGAACTGCTAGGTTTGTCAACTTCAGAGACAACCCACTGAAACTGGAAGTAACACTTCCTCCCAGTGAAAGCGTAGATGAAGAGGAGGAACGGGAATTATTTGGCCTTCAATTTATGCACACATACATACAGGAATCACGGAGAAAAGCAGGTAGGAGATTTGTATATAACATAGATCGGTTCTTTTTGGTAAGGAATGTGTTTATAATTTGCTCCTAACTTTCTGAGTTCTTTTATGGATTTCTCATTCCATCTTGCCTTTTCTACCAAATTCTGGTCTTTTGGCCAATATTGTAAGAGGAAAAGAAAGTAAGATTCCACTCTGTTTATAATTTTGATAAGGATTAGGAGAAAAGTTGTAAAAATATTTAAAAAGCTGGGCATGGTGGCGCACACATGTAATCCCAGTGGCTCAGGAAGCTGAGACAGAAGGATCACAAGTTCAAAGCCAGCCTTAGCAAAAGCGAGTGTAAGCAACTCAGTGAGACCCTGTCTCTAAATACAAAATAGGGCTGGGGATGGGGCTCAGCGGTTGAGTGCCTCTGAATTCAATCCCTGGTACCCCTCCCCACCAAAAAATTCAAAATATTTCAAATGGAGTCAGGAAATAAATTCTTTGGCCAAATACCTAAAGCACAAACAAGTGAATGAAGATACTATTCCTAGGGCTTTACTACCTTTTTCTACCAGCTTGCCATATCTGTCATTTTGAACATCTGCATTTCTTTTTCTAGAATCCACAAATAGCAAAATACTATTTTACTTATAGTGAAAAATATTAAAAGAACAGATTTTGACAGAATGAATGTGAGGTTTTGATATACAATTGATTAGGTCTCTTATAATTTAGAATGAAACTTTTTTTAAATTATGAAAGCCTTTATATTAAGTCAAGATTAGGGGAATAGGGCAAAAAGCTCAATTCTCTGTTAATAAAAGCAATGAAACAGGTGTGGTGGCATACAACTGAAATCCCAGTAACTCAGGAGGCTGAGGCAGGACAATTAAATTCAAGGCCAGCCTCAGTAATTTAGTAAGACCCTGCTTCAAAATAAAAAAATAAAAAGGGACAGGGATGGAGATCAGTGGTAAAGCATCCCTGGATTTAATTCCCATAAAAAGTAATCAAATGATAGCATAGTAATAGAAATCATACTGGGCCCAATTGCATAGGGAAGCTCCTCAGGAGGCTGAAGCATGGTTCCAAGTTTAATACCAGCCTAGGCAATTCAGCAAGGCACTGTTGTGTTGTACATACTACTATTTAAAATTTAAAAAGAGCTGTGAATGTGGTTCAGTGTAAGAATACATGCCTAGCATACCTGAAGCCCTGGGTCCAATCCCCAGTACTGGGGGAGGAAAAAAAAAAATAAATCATGGCTTTATAATATACTAAAATGTGAAGTTTGAAGACTTTTTAACTCAATAGATTTTAGTTCAACTCAATGGAATGTTGAAGTAGTCATTAGAAACAGGGCATGGTAGTATTCTTCCTGTAATCCAGTGACTGGGAAAGCTGAGGCAGAAGGATCTTAAATTTAAAGCCAGCCTCAGCAATTTAGTGAGCCCCTGTCTCAAAATAAAAAAAATAAAAAGGGCTGGGTATGTAGCTCAGTGATAGAGTACCCCTGGGTCCAATTCCCAGTACCAGAGGGGTGGGAGTGGAGGGTTAGTGTTTAGGTCTCCTGTAGCAAGGCCACAGAAGCAATAGCATGGATACAGGTTGGGAGGTAAACAAAAAAGTTCTAATACTGTGGGGTCTAGTTTTAGAAAGGATAAATTAAGGGGATGGGGATGTGGCTCAAGTGGTAGCATGCTCGCCTGGCATGCGTGCGGCCCAGGTTCGATCCTCAGCACCACATACAAACAAAGATGTCGTGTCCGCCAATAACTAAATTCTCCTCCCCCCCCCCCTTTAAAAAAAAAAAAAAAAAGAAAAGAAAGGATAAATTAAAGACAAGTAGGAAACTGAACTGCATCAGTATGATAATTTTTGGATATGTATGTATGTCTTATGAAACATAGGAAACATAACAGATTATATTAGTTGTTGAATATCTTTTATTTGTGGGCATAAATTGTTGAATGATACAAAATAAACCTTATGATACAAATGAATATTTCTAATAATAAAATGAGGTTAACTATTGAAGGATGTATATCTTGTTCTTTTGACTGGGGAAATGAGTAACTAAAAAAATTATCACACTATCTTACTTTAATAAGATTTGGCCTAGAACATACAAGAAGAGAAAAAAAAAGTAACAATTTAAACAAAGAGGAGATAAAATAAAAGCCCTCCTATTAAAGTTGTTAAAAATAGATCCATGATTACTACTACTAGTAATTAATATTTGAGTACTTAAGTTTGTGCTTGGAACCATTCTAAGCATTTTACTTGTGTTGGCTTACTTGATGCACACAACAACCTTGTGAGGTAGGTTTTATTATTATTATTATTACTGCCATCCCCATTAAGAGGAGAAAATTGAGGCACAAAGAGATTAAGTAGCTTACCCAAGGGTCACACAGTAAGAGGTGATAGGATTGGAATTTGAACCTAGGCAGTTTGACAAGACATAAGTAGAAAGGTTGAAATGAAAAATGGGCTACAATTTTTCAATTATTTACAATTCTACAGGATACATATAGCTATTTCAGAATCTCATAATATCTAAGATTAATAATTCTAGATCTTTGTCTTGGCATATGATCAATAATTAAGAAAATGTTTACAAATAAATGCATAAACAAGTCATGGATAAAATGTGAGAGTAACATTCCTACTATATGTTTGGTTTAATATTTGCTTCTGCATAAAAACTACTTATCAGTTAAATAAGGCCTAAGTGTGAGAAGGTTTTGGTTTCATCATCTGATTTCTGTTTTAGTCCAAATTATTTTCTCCAAAAAACAGAGATCATACTTAATGTTTGAACTTACATATGTAAAAAAAACTCCTGGTAAAAGATATAAGCTACCAAGTTAACTTGATAAATTATTTGCAAATTTCAAATTTAATTTTTGGTTTATGCTTGTATAACTAGATAATCTAGTTATAAAAATGAAAGTGAAACTTTCATTTTTATAGCACAAAAATGAAGTGAAACTTTTTTTTTTTACTTAAAAATATTTCTTTAGTTTTGGTGTTTGTCCTGGAAAAATTCTAATAGTATATAAATATAGGTATGGCTCTGGTAGTCTGAAAGTGATTGTATTTACTGACTGTGAACATCTCTGAATCTGTTTGCATTTGAGAAAAAGTACAGTTGATTATCATCTCCAGATCTGCATAGAAAAGAAGTCCTCACATTGCCAAATTCTCAGGTTGGCCCTTGTTATAAATTGACAATTGGTCATTATGTTTTGAACTTGAGACACAAAAAATATTAAATATAATCAAAGGAAAAATATATCTCCCAAATAAATGCAAATAGAAATAGAAACTTAACATGTTAATTAATATGTTGATGTACTATGTGTGTTTCAGATGATGAAGTCAATTGTTTGATTACTTCACCAACTTCTATAAATACTGATGAATAATGTAATTCAAAATGCCCTGCCGAAGAGGATTATTTGGGGAATCTGATGACTTATTTGGACCTCTGAAGTAAAAAACAAGGTTATTGCCAAAGTTTAATGAGGCCACAGTAGTTTTAAAGTCCACATTATTTGCTATTTAAATTATATTTTTGTGAATATAAAAATATAATTAAAAATTTTTTTTGGTGGAAGACAGATGATGTTCAAATTTCTTTGCTATTAAGCAGTTGTTTCTGGTGAAGAATGAATTGGTAAAGCAGTTAACAATACATTTTCCAAAGATACCAAAGGGTCTGTATAGTATTGTAAAGCAGGATTGAATCCCTTCTGCTGTAAATACTGGATTCGACCTTGGTCAATCAGCAATTTACAAAGATGCCCTATTTTCTTCTTTTCTTCAACAGTAAGAAGCCTAAATGGAATAAACACACACACAAAATTAACACTTTGTAAGCTTTTAAAAAACTTTTAGTCACTTGTAATTATTGAAAAACTGTTAAATAGCCCACATTATACTGAGTACTATATTCCATCTTCCAAGGCATATTTACCTTATAACCTTAATAAAAATGCATGTATTTTAAGTTACTCTAAAAAATTACACTGTATGTTCTTAGGAATAAACTGTTGGCAATAATCATCTAAGAAGAAAGTAGTCCCCACTTATCCACAGTTTCATTTTCTATAGTTTCTGTAACCTGTGGTTAATTGTGATCTGAAAATATTAAATGGAAAATTCCTTTCAATAATTCATAAGTTTTAAAGAAGTGATGTTCTGAATAGCATGATGAAATCTTTTGCCCTCCCACTCCTTCCCACCTGGAGTATGATGATCCCTTTGTCCAGCATATCCACACTGTATATATTACCTGACCATCAGATAGGTGTTTAGTAGCCATTTCTGTCATCAGATTGACTGTGGAGGTATTACAGAGCTTGTATCCTATCTGTGGTTTCAGGCATCCACTGGGAGTCTTAGAATGTATGCCCCGTTGATAAGTGGGGGACAACCGTATAGCAATAATAAAATATTTCCCCTTTAGTGTTCAGCATTACAAAGTAGTCACTTACCCAGGCAAACTCTCAGAGCTGTCATCTGTGACTCTATATCCTCCTTCATCATGCTCTTCGCTATCATCATTTTGATTATCTTTTCTCTTTGTGGTAATATTTGAGGCTTCGAAAGATGTTTTCTGCATCCCACAAGTCGCCCAACTACTCATTCGCTGGAAATAGTGGAATTCTACTGCTCCAAGGCCTAGGGCCCTGAAATATTCTTTGCCCACATAATGTCTCCAATCACACCTGTGGTGACAACAGAGTGCAATAACAATGCCAGCCACAGGGGTCCACTTCTCTGGGACATTTTTTTCATTTCCTTCCTTGGCCAAAGTGTTAATTTCTTTTTCTGTTTTATCATTCTTTATGCGTTTGGCTAAAGGTTCTTCATTCCTTTCCTCAAAACTGGCAGCATAGGTTTCAACCAAACATCGTAATGCAAGATCTGCAAACACAATTATGTCGCCCCCCCCAAACCATCATCTTTAAAATAAATAGTTTTTATATTTCTTAAACAGTATGTTTTTTAAAAACCCAACAACAAAAATCTACTTAGCTTTATATATGTAAAATCCTATCATAAAGTATCAACTTTGTTCAAATCTGCTTTTTTTCTATCTTCTTATTTTTTCTAGTGACTAATTTTGCATAAAATCTATTTCCCAATAAAACTATCCAAATTTAAGGTCTACAATTAAAAAAAAAAAACCTTTTGTCTAACTATTTGAATTGTCTCCCATTTCCCCTACCCTGGCTGAGGAAATGATTTGTATAGAAAACATCTATTTACCTATACTTGCATTCCAGCTTAAGAAACTTGAGCTTAAGAAACTCAAAGGAAGAAGTAAAGAACAAAGGCAATTTTGCTTAACATAGTGATGCTAAATTTTAGTTAGAAGATAATCACAGCAAATAGCAATGAATTGAAGAGTAGAGAACAGGGTGATCAGAACATGGAAAGTAGGCCTCTCTGAGTAGTCTTACTGTGTTTATGCATTCATTCTGCAAATATTTTCTGAATGCCTTTCATGTGCAAAACATTGAGGATGCAATGATGATTAATATACCCAAATTTAGAGGATTATGTATGCTATATTAAATGAAAACGTTTTAGTACATTTTAAAACTAAACAACAAACAAAAAAACCCAAAGATTTTTGATGAGTATGGATATTTTCCACTGAGAACTACTATACTGTTGACAATATTGGAAAGACCATAATTATATACTGTAAAACCCATATTTTCTGATTAGATTGTTATATTTTGTCTGCTCAATTAAAAACAAATGTATATTTAAAAATTTTATTGCCCTAAGATGTCACAATATTAAATGATCTGATATTTGCTAGTAAATTTAGTTCAATATATGAATTTAAGTCAACAAACATTATTGGAAACCTATTATTTGGATAAGGTGATAGTCAATCTATTATTTATTTATTTATTTATTTATTTATGGTATAAGAGCACAACAGTTTTAAACACCAATCTTCACAAAATAATTTTAATACTTTGTAATCTATTATTTCTTAAACAGTTTTATCACAATTCCCTCTGCATATCTTTACCTTATTATATTTTACTTATCTGTTTATATATCTAATTCTTGCAGATGCTATGAATTTTTTGAGACTAAGGCATACACTATGCTACTAAAATGCTAATACAATTTTCTTTCTTTCTCTCTTTTTATTTTTGAGGCAGGGATTTTGCTGTTGCTCAGCTCAAGTGATGAGCCTGCTTTAGCCTCCTGAGTAGTTGTGCCATTGTGCCTGGCTCCATAAACTATTATTTTCTAACAAAATATATTCAGTCACTATTTTATTTATATTTAACTTAAGTAAATGATTTTCAGAAATGAGAATAATCAGAAAAATTATTAAAAGAATTAAATAATTTCAGAATTAAAAGGATCTTTATCAGTCTAGCTCAACCTCTTTTTTTATAGCGCTCTAAAGGGATAAAGCTGTACACCCAAAAAAGAACAAAGAAACACAGCAAATTAGTGGCCAAGATTATTCATTCATTCAAATTCACTAAGTTTCTGTTATATATTGAGCATTGTATTAGCATATACTTTATTTTCAAAAAATTCACAAGATACTGGCAGAATTAAATAAACAGACATAAGTGAAAAATAATCAGGTAAAGATACCACAGAGGCAGGGCTCAGTGGCACATGCCTGTAATCCAAGCAGCTCGGAAGGCTGAGGCAGGAGGATCATGAGTTCAAAGCCAGTCTCAGCAATGGTGAAGTGCTAGGCAACTCAGGGAGACTCTATCTCTAAATAAAATACAAAATAGGGCTAGGGATGTGGCTCAGTGTTTGAGTACCCCTGAGTTCAATCCCTGGTAGACTCTCCAAAAAACCAAAACCAAACAAACAAAAGAGGGTATTGTGATAATACTAAGGAGGCAGATCTTATTTAAGGAGACCCCCGCCCCCGAAAAGAGGTGATAACTGAGCTGCAGGATGAATAGATATTGACCAGTCTTTTTGTTTGGGTGACAGTGGAATTCCAGAAATGGTAGGAACAGAATAGTATATGGAAAAATATTCAAGCTTGATGTTGGTGAACAGTAAAGCTAGAAACAGAGTGGCAAATAACTGCTGAAGAGTTTAAAAAGGAGAAGGATACACTACAAGTGTAGCAGATGGACCTAAATATTAATATTTAAAGAACGCTGTGGAAGGAAACTATGAAAGAAACAGAAGGAATGCACTGATGAAAGGAAAGAACTGGGAAAGAAGTGTCAGATAAGACGATGAAACTGAAATTCAAAAAGGATAATTAACTGCAAGAGATGAAAGGGGAATTCAAACAGAGTGAACCAAAGTGGAGAAAATGCATGGAATATGAGAACTGGCCACTGTAGGTTATACTTTTGAGAAATATGGATTAGATGGGAAGAGTGTATACCCTCCCCCTTCCCCAGGATGAAATTGGATGCAACTGGTTTACTTCAAAAGGCTTTTATTTAAGGGTTAATTAAGATATATGGAAGTCACCTAAAAATTTTGAATTACAACACAATAAACAGTACTCATATTCAGCCAATTTGAATAATGTCTTATGAAGGCTCCAAGTTCCCCAAATGTATAGATGATGAAACTAGCAGGAGCCACGAAGATATAATAATAGCTAACATAGTGAGCATTAATATATGCCAGAATTTTATGTGGAAACTGGTAAATGGTATTATTACCCCTATTTTACCAATGGGGTAACCAAAGCTCAGGAAAGTTAAATAACTTGCCAAAATTACACAGCAGAACTGACAATGAAACTATCCGAGTCCCAATGTATGCTGTTTCCACTCTACAATGCTAGATCTGATGAACAGAAGTACTAAGACATCTTAGATTTTTCTGGTATGAAATTTTTTAAATTTTTCCTCAGAATCCTGACACACAGTGATCTTCTAAGTTCCTCTAAGAAAGTTTCTCTAAGTACCTTCTGGGGTGAAATACTACAGTTTCCACAACAATTTGTTTCCCTGTTTAGTTGTAATATAACCCAAAGAACTTTAAGGTTCCATATGACATATTATTTATACACAACACTCTAAATTCATCCTGCAAAATGGCCAAAATGAGCAGATATCCAGGAAAGCCCTGCATTTGATACAATACAGGGCCAGTGTTGCTTATGAAGACTGTTTTTTTTGTAACGAGAATAAGTTTAAAAAATTTTTTACATATTTTTGTTCTTTGTAGTTAAACATGACAGTAGAGTATAATTTGACCTATTTATACAAACACGGAGTACATCTTATTCTAATTAAGATCCCAGTCTTGTGGTTGTCTACAATGTAGATATTCCCTGTGGTGGATTCTCATATACACATAGGAAAGTTATGTCAGAATCATTCTCCTGTCTTTCCTATTCCTTTCTCCATTCCTTTCCCTTCATTCCCCTTTAAGACTGATAAGCTGTAAGTATAAGAAATCGTAACAACTCAAAAGAAAGCACTAGGCAATTTAAATTAAGATTTAATGTATTAATTTAGATATTATCAGTGTGTTTACCTACCTGTTGCTACACCACACAGATGCTTTCCAATTCCTACCACAGGTAGTTTCCCTTCTCTCAGTACAGGAATCTTATCTGAAATGAAAGAAAGCATTAAATAAGCTCTCTTATGAGATAAGTATATGTGGAGTTTTCTTTCTTCTTTTTTTTAAATTTATTTTTATGTGCTGCTGAGAATCGAACCCAGTGCCTCATATGTGAAAGGCAAGTGCTCTGCCACTGAGCCACAATCCCAGCCAGAGTATATGTGTTTTTTTTTAAGAGATAAAATTAGAATTAATTAAAATGCCTGAATTTTAGGGCTAAACCTAGAGACTCAAACAAAAAAATTCTCACTTTATAGAATTCAACATATAACCTGAGAAGCTGTTTATCAACATTAGGAAAGTAATATATTTAAAAATCTAGACAGAATATTTTATACATTATTAGCTAGGCAGAGGAACTATTTCATTTTCTTTAATGGTTTTGGTAAATTATGTTAATTACAGGCAGAAGGCTAGTTTAGGATATGAACACATTCAAGATTAATTTAAACAGGACAAAGAAGCAAATAAGGGTGCATTTTCAAATTTTAAACTCTTGCCTTGGCATGATAGTGCTTGCCTATAATCCCAGTGACTTGAGAGGCTGAGGCAGGAGGCCAAGTTTGAGGCCAGCCTTAGCAACTTAGTGAGGCCTTAAGCAACTTAGCAAGACCCTAACTCAAAATAAAATATTGAATCCCCAGGTCCAAAAAAAAAAATTTTTTTTAAAACTTTTTCTGAATATAACACTTCATTTTTAGTTAATACTGAAAATATTTTTTTCAATCCTAATTCAATTTACATTTACTTGAGTGTTACATATAATATTCTCTATTAATATTGAACTAATTTTCCTTTGTTTTTCCTGAAGCACTGTTCTAATGATTGAATTTCTAAGCAATCCTTACAGTTTGAAACATCTATGATTTATGATAGAGCAATGGAAAGTTAGGCAACTTACTCAAGCACAAATGTTGAATATCAATTTGAAGTCTTTCAAACACTGAATTTTTCTTTCTGTGTTTACCATCTACCTGCACAAACAGAAAAGTATTGTAACAATGACTCTTTGTGCTAAAAAAAGTTTTATGAAAATGAAAAGATTTGTTTTCAAAATCCAGAGTAAATGTTTCCATCTTGTTTTTCTTATTATTGAAAAAATAGAATGAATTAAAAATTTTAAGATTGTGTATTTTTGATGAAAACTCTAAAGTAGTATCACATTTTTATAAGATTTGAAAATTTTACCAATTATTATATACACATTATTTTCTTTAACTTTAATAATTCTCAATTCACTCACAAAGAACTAGGGTTCACAGATATTAAGTAAGCTAAGATTATTTGCCAGCTCTTTTATCTTTGTTACGGGTGGCAATCTATTTTCATTTTGCTTCTTTTCTTACGTTCTCTGAAAGATTACATCCATTTCAGTCTATCTTTGTAAATGCCTACAACATACAGTTCTACATTGTGGCCCAGACCTCTCTGATGAGCATCAAGACACATGTCCACTTTAAAAAAAATTTTTTGGTAGGGTTAGTAGGTTGTTGTACATGTCAGGCGAGCTTTCTACCACTGAGATACATCCCCAATAAAGTTTTATTTTTTTGTGGTGCTAGTGATCAAACCCAAGACTTCACAAATGTTAGGCTAGAACTTTACCACTGAGCTATACCCTCAGCCCCTCAGATGCATATCCAATCCTCAACTAGAAAATTCTACTTCAACAGAAAACTAGACACATTCAGAATTGAATTCATTACTTTTTCCTCCAAACTTATACTTCCTCTGCCTCCTCCTATATTTCTTTATATCAAGAAGAGCACCACTTACTTAAGCCATAAAAACATTACCCAAAATTACTCCTCTCTCATTGTCAATGAATAATAAATCACTGATTATTTTATTTTTTTATTTATTTTTTATTCTCGGCGGACACAACATCTTTGTTTGTATGTGGTGCTGAGGATGGAACCCGGGCCGCTCGCATGCCAGACAAGCGTGCTACCACTTGAGCCAAATCCCCAGCCCCTGATTATTTTATTATTATTATTATTATTTTTCACATTAAATAACTAAGTCTTGTGGCTTCCAATACTTTTAACATTTTTCATATTCTTCCCCTCTCCTATATCCTACTGCAACTACCTTAGCTTTCTGGCCCAATTCTTAATTGGATTATTGTTTAAAAATAGTCTTATTATCAATTTGCCTACTTCAAGTCTCAGACTCTTATAATTAGTTTCACTTATGCTAAGCTAAATTTTTTTTAATATTTATTTTTTTCCTTTTATTTTATTTTTTTAAGGAGATAGGAATATTTATTTTTTAGTTTTCGGCGGACACAACATTTTTGTATGTGGTGCTGAGGATCGAACCCGGGCCGCATGCATGCCAGGCAAGCGTGCTACCGCTTGAGCCACATCCCCAGCCCCTAAGCTAAATTTTTAAAAAAGTTTTTTTTTGCTTCACCAATGCTTATGAATTCTTCCAATCTCTCAACTGTCACTTTCTCTGTGAAATCTTCCCACACTAAACTGAGGTTGTTCTTTTATCTTTATGCTCCCATAATACCTGGTATTTATTATTATCACAACATACTTAGCATATGGAAACAAGATACTTGCCTCACTAGATTTGGTTCTTAAAGGTAAGAACCAAATCTTTTCAACTGTTTTGAGCACATAGTAGAATAAAGTCAATTTTTTCCTCAGTATTCAACATGAGGTCTTCCCTAGCTAACTCTCTTTCCAGTCTCCCATTACTGAACTTCACGTGATGCCCTCCTATCACATAGCAGAGTTTCCATATCATTCAGGTTATTTGGTTATGCTGTTTTGCTTCCTAAAATGCTTCTCAAACTCTCAGTTAGCAAACATTAATTCAGCTTTTAAGATTTAGCTCAAGCATCACCTTTTCTGTATAGTTATTCTCCATCCCTTCTCTGAAATAAAACTTGTCACTCTATCTTTTGAATCTATACTATGTGCAGATTTTTTTCACTTTTCTGCATTTACTACATTTTAATACTTTATGAAATTTATTTATTTGCCTCTCTCTCCTTTCTAAATATAAGTAATAGAGCACAGGGGTTTTGTCTTACTAAACTTAAATGTACCAAAGGCCTACCACAATGCCTGGGAGTATGCTCAATAAATATTTATAAATGAGTAGTCAGCAAGTATTGAGCGAAAGACAGGAGAAAGAGTAGAGTAACTTCTAGCTTGAGCCTGGCTCTTTCTATATATTTTCCTGTCTCTGCAAATGATTTTTAAGAACTCAGAACATGAATTATCCAAATTTAGATTTAAAAAATTCACCTTCCAGTTAAGTTACCAATATAATTAGAATTGATAAAGAGCTATAAATAAATATACAATAAAGGAAGTTTGTTTTAAGTCTGACCATCATTTTTTTTTCTAATGCTGAAAAACGGAAAAAAAAAAAGGTTACTAATATACTACAATGATTTCACTTACTTTGAATCTTGTGGTCACTTTTTCTACCAGGATGAAGTGAACTTTTTCAGCATCTTTTAAGGCAATATCAACCCAATGAGATAATTTTCCCTTTCCTGCTCCAAACTCAACAAAGCATCTTCTTGGACCAAGTAACTTTAATTTTTCAATGTTACCTAAAATAGAAGCCTGCAAACTTCACAAGATTATTTTATAAACTAGAGCAAACATAGTTAGCTCAAATGGGAAAACAGCAAGTCAATCTCTATATAAGATAGTATGTTTGCACTAATAATTTGTTTGGCTTTAAGTTTTTTCTCATTTTTTAATATGTAAAAATCTACTGAGAACTATTTCTGTGCCAATTTTTATATGTTTGTACATATTTTTGAAATTGGAAAATTTTGTATCCTAAAAGATAAACAAAATCTCATTAGTAACTATATTGAGAAAGAAAAGAAGATTAGCTTTAAACAAATGAAGAAAGGTAGAATTATTGTGGTCTAAACAAACCTGCTGTTTCAGGTGCTTGGTTGCGGAATCACCATTTTTAGGGTCATTAAGAGCATCATATAATGCTGGATGGGACATAATGTGATCTTTAAGTGTAGAATTCAAACCTGTGCCAAATATAAATACAGTAGCTTAACCAACCAAATATGAAACTATAGGACTCAGAACAAGGGTGGTAACATTTTGTAAATCAGAATCAACTCATATACCCCTAATTTAATTACTCTAAAATATTTTAACTTGCAATTTCAGGCAGACTTACCTTCACTTGCTTTTCTCAGTTTCTTAATTAAGTTTTCCAACTGGTCTTCAGGTAGAGAAGAAATTGGAACCTGTAAACAAAAATAAAATAAATAATTTAGCAAAAAAATGCTTTAAAGTACCATGACAGAGGATTAATAATTGGGCAAATTCCATGGCCAACCCAGGCTCTTCTTTCTGATAAAACCCCTTCCTTAAGCTGCCACCAGAATTGCTCAACTCCTATGTTTCGTCTGTCTCTACTCTGTTGCTTTAATTCCCCTAATCTCCTTAGGGTCAAGAAGTCCTTAAGCTCAGAAGAATCAAAGGAGACTCAAGCCATACTGTAGCTTGTTATGGAGCACGGGCTAGTCTGGGAACTAACCATCACTAATAACACTGACTCAATAGGAAAATGCATTCTAAATTCAAAACAACAGATTTATACCAAATAAAAATTGGAACATGGCTTCTATACAATATGGAGATAGGTTACAAATACCTTTTAATATTGAATATTAATGTACTTACTAATTGTTCAGGTATTTCTGTTTCATCTTTCAAGCCTGCATTAATATCTTGAATAAAGAAATCCTTGACAAAAACAAAACCGTAAAAAATTAATATGAAGTTCACAAAAATTAAGCTGAAAAACTGAAACTTCCCTTTTATCCCAAACTCTGTTTCTGCCATCCTCCCTCCCTCCCATTCAGTCATTAAATAATTTGTGAGTACCTACTCTGGTGCCTGGTTTGCTTTAGATTTTTAAGGAAGGATTCACCATAGTAGATAAGAGAGGAGAAAAATCTGTGTTCATCGATCATATATTCTAGAGAGGTAATTAATTGGAATAACTTATAGTCTAAAAATTCATTAATAATTTTAATTTTTTACCTGGTTACAGCATAAACTAAGGACTGTGCCAATTTTGCTTTATGGTGTAATGGCAAAAACGAGTACATACTTTCTTCAGACAGGCAGCATGACCAAAATGAAATAATGATTTTATAATGGTATAAGTCTGACTTTTTTCTATTTTAAAATATTAATTAGGGCCTACTTTTTCTTCTATTAGACGCAGTCTCTGGTTTAATCCCTAGATCCTTGATCCATTTTGAGTTAACTTTTGTGCATGGTGAGAGATAGGGATTCAATTTCATTTTGTTGCAGATGGATTTCCAGTTTTCCCAGCACCATTTGTTGAAGATGCTATCTTTTTTCCAGTGCAGGCTTTTGGCACCTTTATCATGTATATTTGTGGGTTAGTCTCTGTGTTCTCTATTCTGTACCAATGGTCTACTAGCCTGTTTTGGTGCCAGTACCAGGGTGTTTTTGTTACTATTGCTCTGTAGGCCCTAAACTCCATCATGTGGGGCTAGGCCCCAACTTTTTTTTTTTTTTTTTTGAGAGAGAGAGAGAGAGGGGGGGGGAGAGAAAGAGAGAGAATTTTTTAATATTTATTTTTTAGTTCTCGGCGGACACAACATCTTTGTTTGTATGTGGTGCTGAGGATAGAACCCGGGCCACATGCTTGCCAGGCGAGCGCGCTACCGCTTAAGCCACATCCCCAGCCCCAGGCCCCAACTTTTTTAATAAGACGCCTGTAGCACAAGAATTAAATCCAAGAATCAACAAATGGGATGGATTCAAACTAAAAAGTTTTTTCTCAGCAAAAGAAATAATATGTGAGGTGAATAGGGAGCCTACATCCTGGGAACAAATTTTTACCCCTCACACATCAGATAGAGCTCTAATCTCTAGGGTATATAACGAGCTTAATAAGACAAGCACCAAAAAAAAACCCAAAAAAACAAAAAACAAAAAACAAACAATCTGATCAATAAATGGACCAAGGACCTGAATAGACACTTCTCAGAAGAGGATATACAATCAATTAACAAATATACGAAAAAGTGCTCATCATCTCTAGCAATCAGAGAAATGTAAATTAAAACTTCTCCAAGATATCATCACACTCCAGTAAGAGTGGCAGCCATTATGAAGATGAACAACAACAAATGCTGGCGAGGATGAGGGGGAAAAAGGTCACTCATACACTGCTGGTGGGACTGCAAATTGGTGCAGCCAATTTGGAAAGCAATATGGAGATTCCTTGGAAAACTGGGAATGGAACCACCATTTGACCCAGCTATTCCTCTTCTCGGACTATACCCAAAGGACTAAAAACAGCATATTACAGGGACACAGCCACATCAATGTTTATAGCAGCACAATTCACAGTAGCTAAACTGTGGAGCCAACCTAGATGTCCTTCAGTGGATGAATGGATAAAAAAAAAAATGTGGCATTTATACACAATGGAATATTACTCAGCAATAAAAAAGAATAAGATCATGGCATTTGCAGGGAAATGTATGGCATTAGAGAAGATTATGCTAAGTGAAGTTAGCCAATCCCCAAAAAACAAATGCCCAATGTCTTCTCTTATATAAAGGGGGTGACTCAAAATGGGGTTGGGAGGAAGAGCAAGGGAGGAAGATTACCTCTAGATAGGGAATAGGGGTGGGAGGGAAAGGGAGGGAGAAGGTGAATAGCATGGATGGTGAAAGGAGACCCTCATCACTATACAAAATACATGTATAAAGTTGTGAATTTGGTGTCAACATACCTTATATATGATCAGAGATATGATAAATTATGATATAATGGTATATTAAGAATTGTAATGCAAAAATAAAGATGATTATGAAAAAAATAAAATACTAATTAAAAATTGAAAGTAGAAGTGTACTGTGATACTATGCTACTTAGTCCATCTGTAGAAATATGAATTCTAGGTAAATATTTAGATAAATATTGTCCAATAGTATTCTCTGCAATGATGGAAAGGCTGTATATTTGCCTTAACCAACATGGCAGCCACCAGCAGTGAAATATGGCTAGTGCAACTGAGAAATTGGACTTTCAATTTCATTCAATTTTAATTAATTCAAATTCAAACAGTTTTATATGGACAGTGGCTGTCATATTGGACAGTGTCGATCTACATGAATGAAATAATAGTGTTTCTACAAATCCTTTTTTTAAAAGTGAAAACAACTCCCAGAGACAATTCATTATACGTAGTAGTAGACTTCTGTTACACAGATGGCAGAAGGCTAACATCCTGAGTATGTGTTGCTTGCTTTTCCTATATGTTTAAAAATGAAAACCTGTAATTGAGTGGAATGAGTGAAAACTGCATGTACAAAGGTTTGTTGGATGATTGACAAAACTATAATAGAAAATTAGCTATACCTATTATAATTTGATGTACTCCTAAATTTTTAAAAATGGTTGTAATGAATGTTCTAGGTAAATTGTATTGTGGATTAGACTTTCATATGTAAAAATTATTTATGTTGGAGAAATTTACCACCAACTTACTTTCATTTACTATGCAAAATGTTTACAAAATGATGAAGTTTCACAAAGTCAAGCAAAACAGTGATATGAATCTACCTAGTTTCCAAGTTTCATATTATAGTGTACCAGATAAAGATTGCTTGGTATTTTTTCCCCCCATCTCATCATCCCATTGTGTTTTTCCCTTTTCTTGCCATGGTATTCATGAAATCCATCCCAAAGTATTCCATTTTAAATAAATTCATACATTCTCTCAAACTTTTCACAGAACACACATTGCATTTGTTTGCTTTAATGGAAACCTGGCATTAGGCAAGGAAGAAATTTCCAAGTAAAACCTTATTTTCTCTTTCTACTAAAGTGGCTAAAGGATAAGGGGGACGTGGATGGTCATCATTTTTCTTCTATAGTACCTTAATGTTAAAATATTTTCTTCTAAGCTTAAAGCATCTGGCCTAGTAGTTCTAGGCAATGTATGAGGATATTTTGTTGTCAAAATGACTGAGAACAAGTGCTATCAGAAGATAATTTTCCTATGGGTCTTTCAATCTTCTGTAAGTCTTCCAAGCAGTCACTGACTAAATTTATTTCAGACTATCTTTTCAAAGATGCTTTATACCAAGTATCCTTGGAAAATCGAAATGGTGTCTTCTAGGTCACATAGTAGGCTTAATTATTATACAGTATAAAAAAGAAAAATGTCTACTTATGAGACACAGTTTAGGCAGCTTTGCTTATTGCCCAGTTTAAAAGGATTTATAGTTCCTGAATTTGGAGTTCTTCAATTATGATTCAAGTCCACTTTATTTGCAGAATTCATCTAGGCCCCTCTGTGGTGAGTCCATAGGCTTTGGGAAACAAGAAGAATTCATGTAAATAACAAGCTCCTGTTGCTTCCTGTGAGGAATGAATAATGTGTGTGAAAATCAGTGGTAGGGTACATGCTTAGCATGCACTCCAGCATAAAAAAAAAAAAAAAAAAAAAAAAAAAGTACTTGGTCTCTGATCCAGGAAACGCTTATCTTCTACCAGCATCCACAAATCTGTGGTTAGTTTGTTATTAGTTTGAAAATATGATGAAATATAATAAAATTTCAGAACCTTCTCAGTACTTGCCATTTGCTACTCAGGAGCTACGATGGGTACTTTGGGAAGTACAGGAATACTTTGAAATGCACATGCTATGACTGTCTCAAAGGCCTAGTGAGAAATACCAGGCTCTTAAATCATTGTCTGAATCTCCTGAGGTTGTCAACTATTCATCTGTAGGTCATTGTCTGACATCTACTAGGATTTTGAAAACAAATTGTATTTTATATTTCAAAATCCAGCCAAAATGATTCTTTAAAATCACTCAATGGAACGGTTCTGCTTTAACTTTTTAGGTAAATATTTAAATATTGTCCAATAGAACTCCAAATTCAGGTAAAATTATTTATGTTGGAGAAATTTACCATCAACCTGCTTTCATTTACTATGCAAAATATTTACAAACTGATGAAGTTTCACAAAGTCAAGCAAAAAGTACATGTCAATAAAGTACTTCCAAGGACCTCTAGACTGTCATTGCTATGAACCATATAACTTCTAAAATCTTCAACTGACCACAATTCTGTAATATGCTAGTAAAAAGCACAGTGATTCTTTTGTTCCTAATCATATTATCTCACTTTTAAATACCTCTAATGACTTTTTCCTTTCTTTTGTGGTACTAGGGGTTGACTCCAGGGGCACTGTACTACTGATTACATCCCCATTCCATACACACACACACACACACACACA